ATTGCCACAGTCCCAGTATACACTGGGATAGGCTATGCTAAGCATGCTGCTTCTTTCACTCCATTTTGCACTCTCCCTACAAATGTGTGTCCACCATTTCTAACCATCAGCCACAGAATCATAGAATCATAGAATGGTTTAAGTTGGCAAGGATCTTAAAGATCATAAGGTTCCAATCTCCCTGCTATGAGCAGAGACACCTCCCACTGGACCAAGCTGCACAAAGCCTCATCCAACCTGGCCTTACTCTCCTCCAGGGAGGGGGCATCAACAAGCTCCCTGGGCAACCTATTTCAGCACCTTACTATCCTCATGGTGAATAATTTCTTCCTAATCTAAATCTCACCTCTGTGAGTTTTAAACCACTACCCCTTGTCCTATCATCACTCTCTCTGGCGAAAGGCCCCTCCCCAGCTTTCCTGCAGGCCCCTATAGGTACTGGAAGGCCAATATAAGGTCTCCCTGAAGCCTTCTCCAGGCTGAACAGTCCCATCTCTCAGCCTGTCTTTGTAGCAGAGGTGCTCCAGCCCTTGGATCATCTTCGTGGCCCTTCTCTGGGCCCTCTCCAACAGGTGTATCTCTATTTTTCCTGTGCTGATGGCTCCAGAGCTGTACATCTCACCAGAGCAGAGGGGCAGAATCACCTCCCTGGCCCTGCTGGCCACACTTCTTTTGATGCAGCCCAGGATGCAGTTGCTCTCTGGGCTCCAGCACACACTGGTGGCTCATGTCAAGCTTCTCATCAGCTACCACCCCCCAGTCCTTCTCCTCAGGACTGGTCTCCAGCCATTCTCCCCCCAGCCTGTACTGGTCCCTTCTATCTGAATGATTCTGTGATTTGTGAAAAACTTTTCTGCAAGTTGCAGTTACAACAGGAACAGCCAGTCATTGTCCTTTCTCTTTGTTTCTACAGCTCTCCTGGACAGCTTTATCTGTTAACTTTTATTCCCAATATACCTATAAAAGCTTTTCTTATTGCTCTTTACATCCCTGGCAAGATTCAATTCTATCTGGGATTTGTATCTCCTTACCTGAGCCCTAGCTGCTCACCTCTCTGTGATCCTCCCAGGGTACCTGCCTTAGCTTCTACCCTCTGTATACTTCCTTCTTAAGTTTGAGTTTTTCTAGGAGCTGCTTGCTCATCCACACTGTCCTCCTGGAGTTTTTACCTGACTTTCTCTTAGTTGGGATGCATTGCTCTTGGGCCCAGAGAAGGTGATCCTTAAATATCACCCAGCTGTCATGGGCCCCTCTTTCCTCCAGGATCTTATCCCACAACACTCTCTCAAGTAGATCCCTGAAGAAGCTGAAATCTGCCCTACTGAAGTCAAGGTGTAGCAAGCTTACTGTGAGCCCTCCTTGCTGCCCTAAGGATCTTGAACTCCACCATTTCATGGTCACTATAACCGAGGCTGCCCTTGAGCCCAGCATCCCTCACCTGCCCTTCCTTGTTGGTGAGAACAAGGTCCAGCATAGCTGGCCCGGTCTGAGCTGTTACAAAAAAATAACAACAAAAAGAAAATCATAGAGGCATTTGGCCTTAGGTACTCTTCAGCCACGAAACAAAACCTTACTTAAGGTCAGTTTACTCATAATCCTAATACGAATAGATAGGTATCAGTGGGAAGACAGCATTTCTGGTTTTGCTTATTTGTTCTTGGGCTCATACTTCAAATCTTAATCATGAAGGTGTATTTTAAGATAACTTTTAAAGCTTTTAAAAATAGGTTCCTTTTTAATTCCCCCCTCCCATTTTTCATAGCTGGATTTATTCTTTTTCAGTTTGGGGTAAGATTACTATTTCTCAATCACGCATTAAAAATTTTACTTTGTGCTTGGATGAGAAAACAAGAACTATTTCAGCTGGAAAGTAGGAAGCAAATGTTTCCAAAGCAGAAAAACAAATGTGGCATCTGTTATCAGAACAGATGTGTTCTTAATGTATTTTGAAGAACAACTTCCTAGTTGAATTAATAAAAAAATCAGCAAAACCCCACCATTTTATTTGTTTATTTTGTTTCTGGTGTAAAATATTTCCAGTGTGAGAATAAGTGTGTGATGTATTTTCTTAAGAATAGCTAGTCAAATTTTTTTTATTAAATTCCTGTCACTTATAATTCCCCAAATCCAATAAAAATACTAATGCTGGCCAAGTGTCAGAAAGCATAAATCAAAAGCAATACATAAGACACAATCTGACTTAAACCTTTAGTATTTTCAATGACACCTGACTAGAAAAAGATCTACGGTGCTTCTATGGGAAGGACAGTTCATAAATTGTCCTTGTAAGCTTAAGCATGTTTCAACAGAAAAATGCCAGGGAACAGAAAATAAGCATACCATTATACAGAACAGTTTTCTAAAGTTTCAGTATTTAAATTGCACCACAGTGAAGCAAATTTGTTGAGGGGAAAAGTCACTAGTCAATTAGCCTTTGCTCAGAATTAAAGAAAACTTTCAGAGTGGGGATGTCTTCCCTTGCACTGTAGTGCATTTAAAATTGAGGAAAGAAACACACAGTCTTTGCAGGGTGAACAAAACTTTGCTTTGTCCTGAATATTAGACATGATGTGATAGGTACTGAAAGGAAAAAGCTGGCAAGTGAAAAAGTATTGAATAAGGAAGAGGTTGAGCAAAAATGTATGGATTCTTAACCCATGGACAACAATGAATACTGGATCGGCTTCTTTCCTATCCTGGGAAAACAAAACCAAAAAAAAGGCTAGCAAAAAGTTCCTTCTGTGAAACTTACTCAGATTTATTTTTGGGGAAAAAAAAGAAATAACCACCAAGTGTGTATTACTCAATATAAAGCCTTTACAAATCATCAAAACAGAAAATTTCCACTTCAGTGAAGAAGTAGACAAACTTCTGTCCACCCTCCCAAAACAATGCAGCAACAATTTAGGACACAATTTTAAATCAAGTTAATCTAAGAACATGCCTGTTTGATGACAAGATAGTGCATGTCTGTAGAAGTCTGCAAGTTCTGTAATCCAACAACTCTGATTTCCACCATTTTTGCTTCCAAAGTTCTAATTTTTGATGCAAAATACTAGGATGCCTTCCCCAATGAGTAGATTTTTGGGTATAAGTACCTACTCTTTCAGTTACTCTTCCATCTTACCAAGACTGCCTACATAACTGTCATTTCTCAGCAAAAATCTCCAGTTTTAAACTTCACAATCCCCTTTAAGCACCTCACCTTGCCATAACGGCATTCCAGTACTTTATTGTTCACACTTTTTCCCAATGAGCAAGTTATAATTCAGTGCTGCTCACTTCCTTTCAGAAGGTATTTGTGAAGTTCATCCAGCTCTTCTAAAGTATCAGTCTCTTGCCCAAAGTATTACTTCCCACACCAGCACAACCCGGTTACCGCTACAAAAAGATTCTGTGTAATGCTCAGCCTTGGCTAACTACAAAAGCTAAGACTCAAGATACTTATAGTGATGTGCCTTTGAACAAGCAAAGCCTTATCCTTTCTCTCCAAGGTTTATCAGACTGCTAGGGTGCTTTTGAAGCAAACTTGCTGACACCCTCCACCAACACTGTGCTTCATGCTCCAGAGCAGGCCTGGAGTACATCTGATATTCTCCAACTGCTAAAAAGCAGGACCAAGTCAGAGTTAGCTCAAAGTAACACCTCTCCATGAAAGCAGACAACAGGGACTCAGCACAAACTACCATACCGTGCTACCCACTCATGTTGACACAGCCACTAAAAACAAAGCCTTCATCAAAGCCAGCTAAATTCTGCCTTCTGGTGAAAGGGACATGGCTTGTACACTGCTTTAGTCCAGAAGTGTATGCAAAGTGTAACCAGTTGGATACAACTTTAGACAATAACACAGTTTCCAACTGATTAATTAAATTTGCAACATTAGACACTTATTTACCGCACTGGCAACATTTTAGGAAAACAAAAAACGCCAAATGGGAAGTCATTGACTGCAGCCTATTTTGTTTTCAGTATGCTTTCCAACATCATCCTTTCACTTTGAATTTTTATGCTGTTGAGAAAGAATATTCTTTAAAATCAGAATTATTTCTAAAACACATTGTAATGACGCTAAAAAGCCCCTCACGGAGCTGGAGCCTTATTCAACTGCATCTTCATGGCAGCTTTTTCACGAACCTACTGGGCAGGATAGTGAAGAGAAAGAATGAAAACTCATTCTTTGATGCACTGTAGGTGGATTAGTCCTCTGATTGGCGTTTGCTTTAAACAAAACAAAGTCCTTAATCTGTGGTAAACCGTAACTATTGCTTTTGGCAGGTTTCTAATTAGAACTGAATAAAAAAAAAGGAAGG